ATTTCCTTTTGCTATTAATTAGGGTTTTTTATGGTATTAGTTTTCTTTATACTTTTAAGATCAAACATTTTATTAATAATATTTCAGAATTCTTTATAAATTTATCTCTTATTTTGTGAATTTAGAATACACTATTTTGTAGATTCAAAATCATTCTATCGATTTTATTTCTTTTGCTACTTCAATTTCTTCAAAAAATTTTAAGAACCGTTGAAATCGACTTGGTACCGATTTAACCTGGAAGCATACCAAATGGAAAGGTGTGTAGAAGGCAAGATGTTAGCCGCCCCATATATGCGTGTGTGTGTTCACATGGGACTGTGGGAGCCCATTTGATGTTGAAATGCATATCAAGGATAAGATTGAACTGGGTTCCTTTCAAGTACGTACCATTCCTATAGGCCCAAGTGCAGTACCGACAGTTCAACGATAAGGTCATTCTTTTCTTTTTTCTTCGTTTGTTGCATGGTGGCCCCAAAGGCAAATGGGTTCCTCTTCTTCATTTGATATTGCTTGCACATGTTGTCTCTGGCTTTCCAGGCTAGATCAGCATCAGTTATGATATTATTTATTTCTATTATTATTTCATTAATTTAAATACTATATTGATGATATAAAATATTACTGAGCAGTATGCCTATGAAAGGAGTTTTCTACCATTAGTGTATGATGCCACTATAACAGAAGGTGGCTGTCGGAACACCACCCTTTTCCAACGCCCAAATATTAGTCTGAAAAACCCTTCTTTAGTGACTTCAAATTTTTGGCGTCGGAAATAAGGTGGTCAATTCCAATGCTCACTGGTGGGGTCAAAAATACATCTTTCTCTCCCTTTTATTCACCTCCCTTCCTTTTTTTTGGGGCAAAAATGATAGCGCTTCGATTAAATTGGTTTTTTATAACGCTAAGGGGCGTCGGAAAAATCTAAATGACACCATATATACTTGGATGTATTATTATTTTTATTATTTAATTTTTTTTTGGGATATCGTTAATTTGGACTTTATCCAAATATTGTCTTGTTGTGCCTTGGGGTCGCCGATGAACCATACGATTTTCCCCAAATTTCTTATACTCCAATTCAGCTCGTTTCTGTTCATCGAGCATTTCATTAACCATCGTTTGCATTCTTCGTCCTCGATCATTTGCCACTTCATCATTTGCGATCTATCAACTGAGACGATGAGTTTTTACTATCGCTCTCTGTCAAATTATAATTGATTTACTTTAAATCTGATCAATTTATAATGACCTTTGATTTTCTTTTATTTTGCTCTCAAATTTATGCTCTCTCTTTAGTTTTATGAAATTTATGTGTGTTGGTGAATGTATTATAAGAGCTTGTGAATTTTTTTGCTTCAATTTTGGTCGTCAAGGCTTTTGGATGCGATGCTTCATCTCTATGCAGGGACGGAGCCAATGAAGGCCTGGGGGCACGTGCCCCCTGAGTTGGTCAACAACCTATAATTTATGTGTTAATTTTTTTAAAAAATTTCATTTATATGAAAAAAAATTTACAGTGCCCCCCCTCAAATTTTTAGTTTCTAAAATTATATTTTTATTTTTTCTTTATTTTCTCTTTTATTCTTCGCATTTCTTAAATTTCCTTAGTAGAAAAAGTCAAATTTTTCTTCCTCAATTGAAACTTTTCAACTATTTCCTTTTAAAGTTCTGTCATTTTTCTTTCCTTTTATATTTTAATAATTTTTTTCTTCTTTGTCTTTTGAATTTTATAGTTGTTATATATATATATATATATATATATACTCCGTATTTTTTTTTTTTTTTTGACAGCGTGCCCTCCCTCACTTGAAATCCTAGCTCCGTCACTGTCTCTATGGTGTATTTCTTCGGGGGAATAATTCGTTTTGTGGCTTCTATTTTTTTTGTGTTTGGTTGTTGCTGCTTTTATTTCATGGTGAAACTATGGGATCTGAAAGCAGATCTGATTGATGTTGTGGTTTACCCCCAAAATATCATTCTCTGGAAAGTGGAAAAAGATATACGAACCTTATGATCATCATCAGCAACATACTATTTTATTGCAACAAAACACGTCCACCATTATCTGAAATTCAATAACTTTTATGCTAAACTTAAAATACGTGTGAAACTTAAAACATTGAGTGAAAATAAATTAGAGAAGTACATATTCTTACACACTTGCCTTATTGAAAAACTCTCACTAGTGACAAAATATTAGCATATATGATTTGATGTTGAACATAAACTGCTATGGTGCTTGCATACTGCTGAAAATATTAGCGAGTTTTAAGTCTTCCCAAGCAAACACATTTTGAGGCAATTTGTCCATTGTTTTATGTCTTGATTAATTAATATATTGTTGTATGTGTTTTTAGATGGATAAGAGCTGGATGCAAATTCCAACTAAGGTTCATCCACTGTATTTGCAAGGAATAGAAGATTTCATTCAGTTTGCGAGTGGTCATGTGGATAGTTTAAATAGAGCGCACTGTCCCTGTCCCTGTCATAGTTGTAAAAACAAGCTAGTAAGACAACTAAAAGAAGTGGAGGATAATTTATACAAGTATGGAATGACAAACAATACACAGACTTGAATATATCATGGAGAGAGTGTTCGAAACTCAAATAATGATCAAGTTGAGCTTGGTGTTAATGATATAGAAGACCAAAGTGGAAATGCTGACGAGGAGCATGAATACTGAACAAGAAGATATTCAACATAATGGCAGTCCACTTAATATCCCTGAGGGTGAAGGGGAAGGGGGTGCAGATAGGCTTGCGAGATTGTTGCAAGATGCACAATGTGAAGTGTATCCAGGTATTTTCTATTAAGCTTGGGGCAACTGTAATGGGTATATATATATATATATATATATATATATATATTAAAGTTATAAAGACATTTCTTTTTTCTAAAGTTGGTGGGTCCCACCAATTTATTAAACACACAAAAAGGCCATAAGGCAATTACATGACTCAATTGTTCTCTCTCTCTGTGCTGCGTCCCTTCTCCTCTCGGCATCTCACTTTTTTCTGTTTTTTTTTTCTTTTCTTTTTGCAATCTCAAAGCTTGATCTAGCTTTACTCCTTTGGATTCGGGTAGAACTTTGTGAAGCAACATTGGAGAGCTCGTCGAGGCCTTCAATTTGATAGGACCAAACATCATTTGGCCAAGCCTAGGGATTCCGAAATTATGGATTGGATTTGGGGATTTTGGGGGTTTTCACTTCCATTTAGGTAAGGGTGCTCTAATCCACTATTTCTTAGATTTCTTGTGAATTTTCCCCTTTAATTTGACTTTAAGCATGCTTAATTTTAATTTTTTTGTGATTATGTTTGTTAGGGTTATTTATATTGATGGTGATAAATGTGTATTATGTGTTAATTGGGCTTATTAGTATGATGATTTTTAACTTGTAAAGAAGCATGCTTAGTGTTGGTTTGTTTTCATGATTTTAATTGCTATAAAAATTTATGTTATAATTATGGAAATAAATTTGTGAATTGTATATTTAAATTGCTATCAAAATGTGGGATGAGAATATGAGTTGTGTATTTTTAGTATTTTATTAGTTTATTTGAAAAAGTATGTGGGAACATTATAGTTGAATTGATGAAATGAAGTATGAAGCATTCATGCATCCAATGGGGAAGAAATAGGAGGAAAAATATTTTAAAATAAATGAATTTGTTCTTGGGAAAAATATTTTTTTAAATGAGTTTGTGAAAACCGGACTCCTAGGAGGCACCTAGTGGTCCGTGTTGTTAGTGTAGTCTAGAAGGGAGTATAGTTGAGCTAACTAGGCCGGATACGACGCCTTGGAGATGCCTTGTGGTCGTGGATAGTTAGTCAACCCTCCATTCGTGATGCCTTGGAGGTGCCTTAGGTCGGATTACACTAACGGTTTGGTTGTTGAAACGGAATTGTTTCGGAAATGGGGAGCGACATTTGCATAATATTGCACTTCATGGCATTTAGTAAATCTGAGATTGGTTGACATTTGTTACATATTTGTTGTTGTGGTTGAGAATATGTATTTCACATGGTATGACCCCGTTTCTTTTTACCTCTTCCTTATGTGGATTCACGGGGTCATAAGAAGTATGTCTTAGACACTTCTTACTGAGCTTATACTCACCCCATTATTTTTAACATTTTTCAGAATACGAAAAAGAGGTGGCGGACGACAATCCACCACAGGTTTAGACGAGCTTGGAGACTCATTTTATTTTTCTACCTTTTGTATTATAATTCTAATATTTTGTAAATGTAATCTTAACTATTTTGAGAAACTTTAGTTTAATTATTACAATATTGTAAGCTATGGACTTTTAAATTTTAGCTACGTTTTATGGACTGTAACTTAACATAACTTAAGTGTGTTCCTTGTTTGGATGAGATGGAGGGACGGGATTTTTTGTATATATGTAGTCATTTTAGAAATGTGATATAACATCTGTATTGTGCGCTGGGACAGGATAGGTTATTTTTTTTAAGGCCTAGTGAGGCCATTGTATTTATTTTTTTGTATTTCAACAGGTTATAGAGGGACTTTTTCTGCGGAGGTCATACCGAAATTTTATATTATTATTATTATTTTGGTATCTTTTTGGGTTGTTACAAATTTGGTATCAGAACCATGGTTCAAATATCATTATGACGACGGGTAGAAGCCTATCTAGGATTGCATGGGGAGTTGAGTTATTTGTTTACTTGCTTAATTGCTTACATGATTGCATACTTCTATGCCTATGTGTTAAGGTGCTTAATTATTTGAAAGGCATGCTGAATTGTTTAATTGCTTATATAATTACGTGCTAAGTGCTTAATGTTGTTGTATATTATTAGCATGATCATGTTTATCATTAGTTGGGAATTCTGGGAGTATGGAAGGTGTTTATGTGTTTCCATTCTTGTCAAATCATTCGTGTGAGGACTCCGTTCTCGTGCGTATTATAGTGTCATCGTAATTGATCCATTTCCTTTTTCTTATAACGTCAAGCCACCACGAAGGGATCCCAGGGAAAGTTTTAGCTCCAATCCCGTGGAAAGGGATCAGGAGCAAGTTGAGAAAGATATCTTGTTGCGTGATTTGGTCCCACCAAGAGGGGGACAAGCAAGGGGGACCGTTAATCCACCTTTTCAGATAAATGAGGAACAATTGCAGTTGGCCGTTCAGGTAGCTCTTTTTAAAGCATTTCGACTGGCAGGTGTGTCATCGTCACAGTTTGTGCCACCACCGGTACCACCACCACCACCACCTCCAAAGACAAATGAGTTAAATGATACTCTTTATCACATTGCAAAGTTTGTGAAATTGATGCCAACTCTGTTTGAGGGTGGCCCAGATACGCTTGCTACGGATAGTTTCATGGATAGGGTGGATAAGCATATTAATGCCATGAATTTGGCAACGAACAAGTTAAAGATCACATTGGCGACTTACAATTTTATTGGTGATGCTGAGATATGGTGGAAGATTGTTTCACACACGCATGATTTGTATACTATGACATATGATACTTTTAAGAAACTGTATTATTAGAAGTACTTTCCGGCGTCTAAGCGGAGGGAACTAAAGAAGGAGTTTGATGGGTTGAAGTAAGGAAACATGACAGTTACAGAGTATGAGAACAAGTTTAAATCGCTTTTGAGGTTTACACCGGGGATTGCTAATGATGAAGAAAGAAAGATAGAGAAATTTATTGATAACATTGATCTTACCATTAGGCCAATTGTAGCTGCTTCAGAACTAACAAAGTATGCAAAAGTAGTGCGAAAAGCCTTAATAGTTGAGGCTGAAAGTAGGGACAATAAGGCTATCAGGGAATCCTATAAGCACAACAGGGGTTTGAGTGCTTTTTCCGAGGGACAATCAAGTAAGAAGCAGAAACATGAGCAGTCAGGGTTCAGAGGACAGCAGTCAGTCAGATCCACACCCACAACTTCAGTGTCCATAGGGTCTTCTAGACCGAATGTTACTTGTTTTAGATGTGGACAGCCGGGACATTACAAGTCCCAATGCACTCAGGCTCAGGTAGCTCAAGTGATTTGTTTTAAGTGTGGGCAGTCAGGGCATCACAAGTCCCAGTGTACTCAGATTCAGGTGGCGTCTGGTGGATGTTTCGGGTGTGGCCAGCAGGGCCATAGGGTGAAAGATTGTCCACAGCGGGGCAGTGGTTTGGGCAGAGGTGGAGGTTCACAGCAGAAGCAGATGCAATCTACCACAGTTCAGTCAAGGTTTTGACCGCCACCACCACCTCAACGATCTCAGCCAGCTATGTCAGCCCAGAGTTCTTGACCTGGTAGGGGAGTTTCTTCAAGTACACCCACTCAGCAGTCTGGTTATCAGGCAGGCGGTTCTTAGGGGCAGAGGACCCAGGGTCGCATGTTTGCACTCACTCCAGCCGAGTCATCATCCAGTCCTTCAGTTGTCAGGGATATGTTTCTTGTGCCCCATTCTTGGGCTCATGTATTATTTGATTCCGATGCTTCTTATTCATTCATTGCTTCATCATTTGCATGGGCATTGGGTTTGGAGGTCAGTCAGTTCGACAGACCGCTTTGTGTTGACATGCCTATCGGGGGTTCAGTTGCTCTTAGTAGAGTTTGTAGGAGTTGTTCCATCACGATTATCGGACGTGTTCTTGAGTTCAATCTCATCCTTCTCGAGATGACAGGATTTGACGTCATTCTTGGGATGGACTGGTTGTCATCCTTTAGAGCTGTTATTGATTGTTTCAAGAGCAGAGTTTCAGTGTGTACCCCAGATGGGGATTGTTTCTGTTTTGTGGGAGATCAGTGCGATCCTCTCACTCATTCATTTTATGGTGTTAGGGGTCGGGATCAGCAGACGTTCTTCTTGGCTAGCCTTTTTGCCGATGATGATATGGAGTTTTATGGGGTTGATTATCTAGTGATTGTGCGTGACTTTCTAGATGTGTTTTCGGAGGACTTGACTGAGTTGCCTCCACACCGAAAGGTGGAATTTGCTATTGATTTGATGCCTGGTATTGCGCCAATCTCTATGGCACCGTATCGTATGTCACCGTGGGGTGCACCAGTCTTGTTCGCTAAGAAAAAATATGGTTCTTTGAGGTTGTGCATTGATTACCGAAAGTTGAATCATGCCACTATCAAGAACAAGTATCATTTATCAAGAATAGATGATTTGTTTGATCAGTTGAGAGGAGCCAATTGTTTTTCGAAGATTGACTTGAGGTTAGGTTATTATCAGTTGCAAGTTAGAGAGGAGGATATTCCAAAAATTGTTTTCCGTACGCGGTATGGACATTATGAGTTTCTTGTCATGCCTTTTGGTTTGATTAACGCACCAGCGGCATTTATGGATCTAATGAACCATGTCTTCTACGATTACTTGGATCAGTTTGTGGTAGTTTTGTGGATGATATTTTTATGTATTCATAGACCCGGAAGGAGCATGAGGTCCATTTGAGTATAGTGTTGCAGATTCTACGGGAGCACCGTTTGTATGCCAAGTATGAAAAGTGTGAGTTTTGGCTACAAGAGGTGAAATTTTTGGGACATGTTGTCTCAGAAGGTGGGGTTTCAGTTGATCCTTCAAAGATAGAGGCGGTTTTGAATTGGGAGCAACCCAAGAATGTCTTTGAGATCCGGAGTTTCCTTGGCCTAACAGGTTATTATCGGAGATTTGTGAAGGATTTTTCCCGTTTGGCAGCTCCTATGACCATATTGACCCGAAAGGGGATCAAGTTTGCATGGAATGAGGCCTGTGAGTTATCCTTTCAAAAGTTGAAAACAAGGTTAACTACGGCCCCAGTATTGGTGATACCCGAGCATGGTTTGGGTTATATGATCTATTGTGACACCTCAAGTGATGATTTGGGTTGTGTACTGATGCAGGATGGTAGAGTAGTGGCTTATGGGTCTTGACAGTTGAAGACTCGCGAGCTTAACTACCCTACTCATGACTTGGAGTTAGAGGCAGTCGTGTTTACTTTGAAGTGTTGGAGACATTATTTGTATGGTGAGAGATTTGAGGTATTTTTGGACCACAAGAGTCTCAAGTACCTTTTCTCCCAAAAAGACCTGAACAATAGACAAAGGCGATGGGTTGAGTTTTTGGAAGACTACAACTTTGATTTGCAGCATCATCCGGGTAAGGCAAATGTAGTAGCCGATGCTTTAAGCCGGAACTCTCGTGGAACTCTGGCTAGTTTAGTCATTCGGAAGTGGAAGATGCTTGAAGATTTGGCTGAAATGGGATTGTATTGCTTTGATGATGATGATAATGGCAATAAGTCAGCATTCTTGTTTAGTCTCGTGGCTCAGCCCACTCTTGTCAGACGGGTGATTGAGTCACAGAGACAGGATTCGGATTTAGATGCCATTCACACTTTGATCTCCAGTGGCAAGACCGAGAAGGATTGGGCCTTACATGCAGATGGAGGTCTACGATTTAGGGGTTTGTTGGTTGTTCCTAAATTTGTCGTGAGGACGTCTAACGAGAGTTCATACTTCCCGCTTTGCAGTTCATCCGGGTGGTACCAAAATGTATCACAATCTAAAACATCAATATTGGTGGAATGGAATGAAGAAGGACGTTGCACAGTTTGTAGCTAAGTGAAGACCTGTCAGCAGGTGAAAGCCGAGCACCAAAGACCAGCTGGTTTATTACAGCCATTGCTGGTAGTGCAGTGGAAAGGGAGGAGATTGCAATGGATTTTGTGACAAGTCTTCCTAGGTCACGAAGGGGAAATGAAGCCGTATGGGTCATTATTGATAGATTGACTAAGACGGCTCACTTCTTGCCTATTAAGGCAACAGATGACGTAGAGGCACTTGGTGTACTTTATGTGAAAGAGATTGTGAGATTACATGGAGTTCCAGTGGCTATTGTGTCGAATAGGGATGCCAAGTTCACCTCGAAGCTCTGGGAAGGACTTCAAGTAGTGTTTGGCTCAGCGTTGCACCTTAGTACAGCATTCCATCCACAGACGGATGGCCAGTCGGAGCATACCATCCAGATCTTGGAGGTTATGCTTCGTGCTTGTGTACTTGACTTGGGTGGTAGTTAGGAGGATCACATTCCACTTATTGAGTTTGCTTATAACAACAGTTATCAGGTAAGTATTCAGATGGCTCCATTTGAGGCATTGTATGGCAGACCTTGTAAGTCTCCTGTTTATTGGACTGAGGTGGGCGAGACAGCCGCCTTAGGACCCGACATTGTACTCGAGACTACTGAGAAGATTAAGTTGATCAGGCAGAGATTACTTATAGCTCAGAGCCAACAGAAGAGTTATGCAGATAGGAGGAAACGATCGCTATCTTTTGAGGTGGGAGACTACGTTTTTTTTCGGGTTTCTCTACAGAAAAGGTTGATGAGGATCGGGAAGAGTGGCAAGTTGTCGCCACAATTCATTGGACCTTTTGAGATCTTGGACCGTATAGGAGAGGTTACCTACAGACTTGTTTTGCCACCGCAGATGGACAGGGTCCATAATGTCTTTCACGTATCGATACTACGGAAGTACGAGCCGGATCCGTCTCACATTTTAAGTTGGGTTGATATGGACATTGATGAAGATGTTTCCTACGAGGAGGGACCAATTCAGATCCTTAACACACAGCATAAAGTGTTGAGGAAAAAGACGATACCATTGGTAAAGGTTCTTTGGAGGCATTACGGAGTTGAGAAAGCAACTTGGGAGCTCGAACAAGAGGTTCGTTTCAAGTATCCAAAATTGTTTTCTTTCTCAGGTATGACTTGATTTCGGAGATGAAATTTTTTAAAGTTAGGGAGAATGTAATGGGTATGATTATATATATATATATATATATATATAAGTTATAAAGACATTTCTTTTTTTTAAAGTTGGTGGGCCCCACCAATATATTAAACACACAAAAAGGCCATAAGGCCATTACACGACTCAATTGTTTTCTCTCTCTCTCTGTTGCGTCCCTTCTCCTCTCAGTATCTCACTTTTCTTTTTTCTTTTTGCAATCTCAAAGCTTGATCTAACTTTACTCCTTTGGATTTGGGTAGAACTTTGTAAAGCAAAATCGGAGAGCTCGTCGAGGCCTTCAATTTGATAGGAGCCAAACATCATTTGGCCAAGCCTAGGGATTCCAAAATTAGGGCTTGGATTTGGGGATTTTGGAGGTTTTCACTTCTATTGAGGTAGGGGTGCTCTAATCTACTATTTCTTAGATTTCTTGTGAATTTTTCCCTTTAATTTGACTTTAAGCATGCTTAATTTTAATTTTTTTGTAATTATGTTTGTTAGGGTTATTTATATTGATGGTGATAAGTGTGTGTTATGTGTTAATTGGGCTTATTAGTATGCTGATTTTTAACTTGAAAAGAAACATGCTTAGTGTCGATTTTTTTTCATGATTTTAATTGTTATGAAAATTTATGTTATAATTATGGAAATAAATTTGTGAATTGTATATTTAAATTGCTATCAAAATGTGGGATGAGAATATGAGTTGTGTATTTTTAATAATTTATTAATTTATTTGAAAAAGTATGTAGAAATATTATAGTTGAATTGATGAAATGAAGCATGAAGCATTCATCCATCCATTGGGGAAGAAATAGGGGGGAAAATATTTTAAAATAAATGAATTTGTTCTTAGGAAAAATATATTTTTTAAGAAGTTCGAGCAAAACCGGACGCCTAGAAGGCGCCTAGTGGTCCGTGTTGTTAGTGTAGTTTAGAAGGGAGTATATTGAGCTAACTAGGCCAGATGCGACGCCTTGGAGGTGCCTTATGGTCATGGATAGTTAGTCAACCCTCCATTCGTGACGCCTTGGAGGTGCCTTGGGTCGGATTACACTAACGGTTTAGTTGTTAAAACGGAATTGTTTCGGAAATGGAGAACGACATTTGCATAACATTGAACTTCATGACATTTAGTAAATCTGAGATTGGTTAACATTTGCTGCATATTTGTTGTTGTGGTTGAGAATATCTATTCCACATGGTATAACCCCGTTTCTTTTGACCTCTTCCTTATATGGATTCACGGGGTCATCAGAAGTGTGTCTAAGATACTACCTACTGAGCTTATGCTCACCCCATTATTTTTAACATTTTTCAGGACACGGAAAAGAGGTGGCGGACAACGATCCACCACAGGTTTAGACAAGCTTGGAGACTCATTTTATTTTGTTATCTTTTGTATTAGAACTCTAATATTTTGTAAATGTAATCTTAACTATTTTGAGAAACTTTAGTTTAATTGGTACAATGTTGTAAGTTATTGACTTTTAAATTCTAGCTATATTTTATGGACTGTAACTTGACGTAACTTAAGTGTGCTCCTTGTTTGGATAAAATGGAGGGACGAAATTTTTTGTATGTATGTAGTCATTTTAGAAATGTGATATAATATATGTATTGTGCATTAGGACATGATAGGTTTTTTTTTTTAAGCCAATGAGACCATTGTATTTTTTTTGTATTTCAACAGGTTATAGAGGGACTTTTTCTGCGGAGGTCATGCCGAAATTTTATATTTTTATTATTATTTTGGTATCTTTTTGGGTCGTTACAGCAACTTTGAAAATAAGACTAGTACAACATTTTTTCTCTTCAGACGTGCCTGGAAAAAAACTACTGGCAAACATGGGTTGTATCTTGGAAACGTATTGGCTGCTATCACCTGCACATAAGAAAACCATACGACTTTAGGACAGTGCTCGCATGTCTCTCATTATCGAGGCTGGTTCTTTCTAACTTACCCTGATGAATCTGCTCAAAAGAAGGAATGCAAGAATGATAAGTAACAAGCTTGGGCACTTTCAAAAACATTGCATGAAACAAATAGAATGATCTGAAAAGAAATGGGTAAGACTTTGGTTTTTATAGATTTCCAATCAAACTTAATTAACGTTCCTTGTAATACTTAGTAGATTTATTCAGGTTCTAATATTTATATGTCCAATACGATGCAAGGAATCCTTATAACCTAAACCACAAATCTAAATGATGATTTCTTGTTAAGGGGGAAATGGAACAATTGAAACGATTAGAACATTGCATTTAATTTTATATAGTAGATTTCCTATGTCATGCGTTGGTTTGCTATTCTTTTTGTGCAAGGGTCCTTTTCTTACTAGTTGGAATTGTCCCCCTATAATCAGAGAGTACCGATATTTTTTTCCCTTATTAGAAATGCCTATAAATGTTAGATCTTTCCCTCTCACTAGCCATTTAATTATTGTAGCAAGCGTGACATTTTGGGTGCAAACAACTAGAAGTATATAAATTTTGGGGAGTACAATTTCTTTGTATTAGAACCCATATTTTCATTTTGGCTATTTCTTTTGGTTTAACTTAGTGAAACATATCAAACATTTAAACCCACTAGGAATACAAAGTCATCTTGAATTATTTGTGATTTAGACATGCAGGAAACTTGGTTGTCCAAATTGTTGTATTCAATTGTCCAATGGCACTACCCACATTGTCGTTCAAAAAGACATTTCAAGTAGTTTTCTAACCATTTACTTGATCTCTTGATGTAAAATAGATTACGGATGACTTTGAAGCCCATTTGAACCATCACAAGGTCAAACGAGCGGGCTAAGACAGTTTTTTCAGAATAATTTCAACTAGAGCTGGCAAAGTGTGACACGACCCACTAACACGACGCGAGTTAAGCGGGTTTGGGTTGACCTTAAATGAGTTAGGGTTGACACGATCAACCCGTTTAGTTAATCATGTCGTGTTAGAGTTGAGGGGTTCAACCCGTTTATACATGTTTAACTATACGTGTCATAAACAAAAATCTATTTAAGTTCCAAAATAACTATCTAAACTTGTATCTTATAATTTATTCTTTTGTAGATTAGAGATTATTTAGTAATTTGGTTGGATTGAAACCTATATTTTTCTAGTATTTATTGTTTGATCGAGTATTATTAACAATTTTAATAATATAATGTTTTGTTTTATTAAATAGAACTGTTTGGTCTATTAAAAGTGGTCGGTTCCGATGGAACCGGATGGGCATGCCAGGCCTATTATGTTACAATATAATGACCTATTTATAGAATGAAAATATAACAGTTAACATAGCAGTTCTAGGTAGTTCCATTAATGCCTTCAAATGTTCCCAAGTGGTCTAGATATCTCTGCGCCATGTGCCCCACTATTCTCTTTTATTCTTCTAGAGGCTTCCACGTTCCAAACATGCAATCGTGCCTTTGATGCCGTTATTTCCCAAACAAATTGTACAATTTCTTTTGTCTGAGCAATGGCCATTACTCCTTTTTTTCCACGATGGTGGTAGTAATGGCCCACGTTAAAACTCTTAAAGCTTTTGTTGTATCGTGGCTTCTGCAGATGCCATATCGCATGATTTTAGGAACTTCAATTTGTACACTGAAACTCCCCAAAGTTGACACATTCCATTGATCGAGTGAATCTCCTTACACGTGGCTTCTCTTAGTGGTGGACTCTTAATAACTTTCCAACTCTGAAAGTCCCTGAAATTGGTCTTGATCCAAACTCCTTCCATGTGTCAGAAATTGGCTTGACCCAAAACTCCTTCCACGTGTCTGTTTTTCAATGGGCGAAAATAAGGGTGTAAACAGGATCATTAAATAGGTTACACGTGTAACTCGTTTAATAAATAGGTTGGGTTAGTGTTGAGAGTTCCTGACATGATTATTAAACGGATCATGTTTAAGTTGAGTTGTTTAGTAAAATACTCTTAGGTTGACACGACACAATTACGACCCACGAACACGAATTGCCACCCATAATTTCAATGAGTTTATTTTGACCTGAAAAGTCGAAAACAGTCAAATGGAAGGGCGCATTTTGGCCAGATTCAATCATTTAGGGTTCGGTAATTGCGTTTTCCTAATTCTGAATATTTCAGTATGACCTAAGATCTTATAAAAACCAGTTTTCTACCTACAGAAACATTTTTGCAGTATAAATGGGGAAAAAATCATCTGATTACTCTCTCACTGGACTAGGTTCAGTGAGCATCTAACAGTGATGATTAACGCCACCTCCCCAACATTGCCTTGTCATCAGCAAGCCAGTAAGTCAAAAAAGAAATTTAATTTTGTTTTGCCATATGTACGAATACCATTCTATACGTTATAATTTATACAATATATTATAAAGAGTATAATATTATACAATTCAACTTTACCTTTTGACTGAAATTAAAATAAAATTACCTATTGACTGAAATTAAAATAAAATTAAAAAGCAAAATAATATCACTTTAAAACAATTCAACAAAAATAAAAATACGTTTACATAACATGCTACTCAAACAAAATTACAAGGAAGAACAAATCATATAATTATGGGTTATAAGAGTTAGTATACGTACCCCTATCTCAAAAATAGATCCAAATCACTCAATTCTCAAATTTTCTCCAAATAAAAAATTTCGAACCATAATTGCGTAAGATTTAGTCAAATTGAACAACTTTAATTCTTGCACCACAAATTAAATCTTACCCCCTAACCTTAAATTCTAAAAAGAAGGATTGAAAAAAAAATAAATAAATAAAAAATAAAAATATATATATAAGTGGCTAAGGTTCTGTTTTTTTTTTTTTTTTTTTTTTTTTTCCTCGCTATTACAATTCCATGTTCTTCCTCTTTTTTATTTTATTTTTTTACCTTTTCAACCTCTCTCCTTATATATACACAAATATGTGCCAAAGAAATCAAGGCAAGTAAAATTAGCAAATATATGTATATATATATTTCTATCTCTCTCTCTCTCTCTCTCTATATATATATATATATGCATCATTTCATGTAGTTCTTCTGTTTTGGATCATTTTTCTGGGTTGTTACTCTTTTTTAGGGTTTTGTTCCTTTTTAGGATGTTCAAATTTCAACCAACTAGACCATGAAGTGAAAATTAATTAATTAAATAATAGATATGTAGTATACAAAAGTTGTATGTATATATTAAAAGTTTGGTAAATATGAATTTAACTCAACCCTCAACCGCCAAGTCAACTTTTTTACCTTTCACTAGCAAGTATTTTTTTTCCTATAAATGGACCTGCATTCAAAACCCATTTCAGAGAAAGTAGTGTATCCCCTCATTAATATAGGCTCGTTTAACCTAGTATCCCTTATACCAAAACCACTATCTTCTTCTTCAGGTTTTAGAAAGAGACACAGAGATTTTAGAAAAAAAGGGAGTACATCCATTTCATTTTTTAAAAACTTTAATAGAAATTTAATTCCTGATTTAGTTTAGAAAACCAGGTTTAAACCACTGCTAGGTATACATAATCATTAATTAAATTTGTATTAAAGTTTTTAAAAGATGACTTTTTATGCAATTTATTACATAATTACATTATTATCTCTATTTGGTTTTTTTTTTTTTTTTTTTAATATCTTTTCTAAACTTATCACTTCTCCTCTGTTCCCCATATTTCCTATTATATTATCCACTCACTTTTCTTTTTTTCCCTCTCACCTCTTCTTTTTTATTTTATATTTTATAATTTAAATACCCATGAATAGGGGAAGATTGTTAAAGTAACGTACTATCTCACAAGATTGAGATAGGCTCTATAGACTAAGATAAGGATTACAGATTACGATAAGGATTACAGACTAAGATAAGGATTACAGATTACGATAAGGATTACAGACTAAGATAAGGATTACAGATTACGATAAGGATTAAGCTTACAGATTATGATAAGGATTAAGACGACGGGAACTCTACGTAATATCCTAACCTAAGCCCTATAAATAAAGGGGGCTAATCGACGTTTTGAGGTACGCAATAAATCCCAACTCAATTTCTTGATTTCTCCAGAGAGATATTACTTCGCACACTAACTTGTTTGTCGGAGCCTACTCTACCGGTAACACACCGGTGTTTATAGGATCGCCTTTTCTTTTCTTTGTTCAAGAAGTCAGATCAGATCGGGGTTGTGCAGATCCATCATCAACATCCTTAATTATTGCTCAATCCTACAGGTTGTGTCCCAAGTGTTAGAACACAATATATTAAACTATATATATTGATCCTACAACCATTTTTTTAACCATTAGAGTTTTCATTTGGGTGACAATTAACTTTGCAATTTTTTCATTTATAAACATTTCTACCAAAAATGTTCATTTAAGTTAGAAAAACCTAAATATACATAGAGATATTAATGTAATTATATAATAAATTGTTATTGACACCCATTTTGGTAATTGGGTCTGGGCTCCAATTGGGCTTGATAAACAATGACATAGTGGTACGGGCCAAGAACGTAAAGCCTGATGAACGATGATGTGTTAAAAGTTTGGGCCGAGACGGTATTGGGCTGAAACATGCGGTAATGAGTTTGAGCTATAAGACACTTTCAGTCTACATGGTAAACAATTAACTTGGACTTCGGTTGAGATAGTTTGATGTAGTTAAAAGAAGATTGGGTGTTACATGGGTGGTGTTTAAAAGCGTATCAGATAGAGTTGGTTTGGATGATTGGAAGAACAAATTAGTTGCATAAGGATACTTATCTAGAGGATTAGTTTGATTTGAATTTTATATTTTTATTATGTGATAGAGTTGTAAAGTTATTAGGATACCGATTTGTAAGTTTGTTTTACTAATAATTTTTATAAATAAACAAAGAGACATGCTGAGATAGAGGTCCAGCACCCTCAGAATCATTATATTTATTTATTTACTTTCTCAAGCACTTTCCCCAAATAGCATCATTGCTATCTCTATCTCTCTCCCTCTCTATTTCAATCTCGTTCTATTTCTCTTCCTATATCTCTCTCTCTCTATCTCTTCTCTCTATATTCTTTCTATATCTATTTTCCTCCCCTTTCTATTCTCTTGATAGTTACTATAAGTTATTCATTGAAAAGTCCTTTTAACTAAGGCAATTAGAACTCATTAAAGAGTATTTTTGTTCTCTTTCTCCTATAATTGTCTCTCCCCTATAATCGCCTGAAAGTCAATTTCTCAAAGAGACTGCAAGTTGACTATCCAAAATTAAACTATATAGTTAGTTCTGGCACGCCCGTTTACATCAATTTAAGATCGGCTCCAATCGGCAGATTTTAGTGTCAACAATTGCATAAAAAGTCATTTTTAAAAAACTTTAAGGGTAAATTACACTGACTTCCCCTAAGATTTCGTCAACATACATAGACTTCCCCTCTTGTTTGTCAAATTACACTAACCTCCCCTTTTAAATATGTGATATGGATGGCGTTAATAGTTTGAGTGAAATTACTATTTTATCCTCACTATATTTATTTTATTTTATTGTAAAATGATGGATTTTGTTTGCCTGGTCGAATCCATCGCAGTTGCCGCCAAAGGTCTCTTCGTCGGCAAATTCGTTAGGATCTGTAAACAGAAAGAATGTGCTATCAGGTGGTAATAATTGAATAGCAAGATTGGTGGCGGTTGTGGTGGTTTGCTGGTGGAATTGCTAATGGAATTGGTGGTTTACTTCTTGTTTTAACAATCCAATTTAGCTTCCTTTTTACAATAGTAGACAACCCATAAGCAAAATTATAAAGATAGAGAGAGAAACTTAATTATTATTGTAAAAAGGAAGCTAAATTGGAGTATTAAAACAAGAAGTAAATGTATGCTTGCCTGTGTGAAGAAGTCAGGGTGGAACCAGAGAAAACCCTGTATGGAGATATAAGATATTAGATTTAGAGAAAGAAAAAAGATAGAGAGAAATAAATGGTTCTATGTTGCAATATTGGGTGGTCTCATTGTCTGATTTGGAGATTTGATCAAAGTAATTCCTTGTAACCTTTGCTCTTCCTCTCTCAAAATTTTGTTCCAATACATGATTGTTCCTTTTCGATCTTGTATGGTCTTATAAGGTTTTGTTATGAACATTAACTTTCAAGCAAAGGTGGTGACTAAACTGGTTTCGCATTTTGATAAATAATGGAAGCTTAGTTATGAGAGAGAGAGAGAGAGAGAGAGAGGTGTATGATCACTTTTTTTGTGGAACATGCAGTTAGTTTTTTGCAGAGCTGCTGAATTGTAGTATTTAAATGAAGCTGTCCTTTTTAGTCATCATGATCCCATATCAAAATCATAGTCGTATTATCAAGCAAAAAAGTGATCATGCATCTTCGAATAGAGTTTAGTTGCAGAGAGCCAAACAGGGTGAAGGCAATGGTAATGGTAAAAATAAGTATTATCATTGGAGGGTGTCTTGGTAAATTTATTTGAGTAAATAAGGTCAAATATGTCCTCACAATAAATAAAAGGGTACTTTAGGAACTTTATAGGATAAAGTTTGCTTACATCAGCAATAGTAACGTTGACTGGCCGACTATTAGCGGCTATTTAACGGAAGGGAACAATGTGTTACAGATATACAAACTTCAAGGGAGGTCCGTGTAATTTGATTAACAAAAGGGGAGGTCAGTGTATATTGACGAAATCACAGGGGAGGTCAGTGTAATTTACCCAAACTTTAATACAAATTTAATTAATGATTATGTATACCTAGACATAAGAAGAATGGCTTTTGTATAGAATTATCAATACAATTTCGTAGAAATATGTTAAATATCAAAAGGCCACACTAGTGTTTTTGTCTTAGGCCTCAAAATCCATTGAGTTGCCCGTGTATGAGAGTCCATGTGGGTTTGCATTTATATGATAACGATAATTTTGCTCCCAGCAAAAAATTTACTCTCATCCACACACACAACACGAATACATTATGAAGGCAAAAGCTTCCTTTGGACAAAAAAGTATATATATATATATCCTAAAACACTAATCTTTATATATATATAGATATAAAAAGGAAGGAAGACAAGGGGCAATCGAAAAAAGGAAAAGTGGGCTGAAAAAAGCCGCAACCAAACAAACAAATCAAAAAAGATGTGGAAGCCTTGTTTTGTTTTTTATATTTTTGTGGCTTTTAACATGTTAAACCCAAGAAAGCCTCCCAACTGTTTAGAAAACAAAATAAACAGATCACCACAACCAACATGAAAACCCTAGTTCCTCCACAAATCAAAAGCCCCAAAATCAGTAACAACCATACCAAACAACATACAAAAAAGACCCATTATATATATATATAAATATATGCAATTGTTCATTTTTACTTAAGAAATTAACAAAAATAGAAGCTGATTCATTCATTGATAATACAAGAGAGAGATATATAAGTGGAGCTCTTGAGAAGGGGAAATTAGAGTTTAAAGTTCTTACAAGTTATAGTAGCCCCAATCAACAACCACCATCGTCCAGATCTCCAATATGCCACCAATCGACCACCGCCGCCGTGATCCTCCCTGCGCCACACCAAGGGCACCGCTAAGTCGTGAAGTCGTGGGTCAGTGAGAGAGTAGAATGGAGGTAGAAAAATTAGAGCGTTTATGTGTGAGTATATGCAATGCAGCCCAGCGCCCACCTCAGCGCACATGTGCATGCCGAACACTTCACCGAACCATTCAATCGGTACCCAAAACCACCTTTTAGGAAAAAATAATAATGAATAAAATAATTAGAATTAAATTACTGGCACATTTTGTATAACTGCCTGATATGATTAATTTTTTTCGGCGCCTTTAAAAACAGTGCCGAAAATAATTAATATTAATTTCAATACACCGGAAAAAATAAATTAACAACGGGGAACGGATAAAAACCGTCGGTGAAAATGATATTTCTTGTAGTGTTGGTGGAGCCTAATTTAGAAACATACACGCAATCTCTAGTCTTTGCCCCCTGCAAATCACACACGCAATCTCTAGTCTTTGCCCCCTGCAAATCACACACCTTCGCACTCCTCACTTTATTTCCTCGACTCTAGCCTAATGTCGTGATCGTTGGAGTCTTGGACACGAGGATCTAGCCGAAACAGCCAAGTTTCTCCGACAACGGCCTCTCTCTAGTTCCCTCCGATTGTAAAGGCACTTGCGAGAGAGTACACCGAATTTTTTTTTTTTCTGCATGAAATCAGAAAATCATCTATGCGAGGCTACACCCTCTTTAAGCTCTCTATTTTCATCTTTTGCCCAAAGGGGTTGCGGAGACCCGGTTAACCCATGAACCCTAGGTTCTTCAAATCTCAATTGAAAAAAAAATTAATTACAATCTCTGTTAGACGATGAAAAAGAGAACTAAGGAAACGAAAAAAAAAATTATGCAAACCCAGGTTAGAATGTTCTCATTTCTATTTTTTTTTTTTTTTCTTTTTTAGAGTTGAAAACCAATTGAAAATAACATAGAAAGACAAAATTTTCACTTCCAAGTAACAAAGTCTTTTAATGGAGAATGCATTTTGCAAAAGGAATGAATTTCAAGGAAAAAGATGTACGTATAAATAAATTGATGCACACAGAAAAGATACGTAAGGAGAGAAAATGGTAAAGAAACAAAGAAGAAAAGGTAATTTTGTGTAAAATATATATTGCATTTTATATGTCTGTTTTTTTATCGATACGAGGAAGCCGTCAAAAATATCATTTTCCTTTTTTTAAAAGGAGAGTGTATAGTTAAAGTCCAAATCAATACTATATGGGTAGTTTACTAATTTATCGTAGCAATTTAAGGGTATTTCAATAAATTAGACAGGTCTTTTAGTGCATTTGACTGTCTTTGACTAGGAGGGGAGGTCCGTGTAAGTTAGTTTTATTTTTAGGGGAAGTTCGAATAATTTTCCAAACTATAGGGGAGGTCCCAATAATTATAGTTGTTTGCACAATTTTCGGCTCTTGAGAAGTGCGGGCGTGCTAGAGTCCTTGACCCGAACTCAGGGTATGAGCCGAACCATACTCCCCATATTGGATTGGTCCCCAAATTTGGTTAGGGGACTATGAGGAGGCGGGGAAAACACCTTCTACTGGGTTAGCATTGCCAAGGACTTAAATTTTTCTCAAATGGTTGATGAAGATGCGGAGAGTAAAATGAAGGAGAAAAAAATGGTGAAAATAATGGTTACATTTAGTTGCTGGAATATATATATAGCGGCATTGCATTATTAGGAAATGAACATACAAATTATAAGGATCTAATAAAGAAACTAGAACATGGATAATAAAAGAGAAAGAACTGATAATTAAACTAATACTAAGCACAAGACAAAAGATGAGTTACAAAACAGATAAAAAGGGCTAGTGGCCTAAGGAGATAAGAAAGAGAAGCATAATGCTGATTTTGGTATTTATAGTGAATCTCTCTCCAAAGCATCAACCATGTTACCATTGTTTGATGTGTGCCACAGCATCACCTTGTTCACTCTTCACCCTTAGATGAGGAGATTATGAAAGAGTGTTGCCCAAGATTTTAGACTTTTCTAACATTGTATACTAACATTGGTCAAACTAAAAGCTCACTTTTCAACTTTACTCAATTATTGTAATATCATCATTTGATAGCTATGTAACATATGGGTGTTCCAAGGTGATAAAGAGTTTCACCAAAATAGAACTAAAAGGTCACTCTTTCATTGTTGTTGGCCAAAAAATGCAAAAAATAATATGTATATGAATGTGGGTCAAATTTGAGTGTTAACAATAGCAAACTATAAGAAATGTCAATGCAATTAACCCATACTAAAAATAAACAACTAATATGGGAGGAGATAGGTCAGATAAGTAAAAGTTAGTAGTATAATATGGTCAAATGAAATTTAGATATATATATATATATAAAGTTTAACTTATTCACATGATATACTATAAATAAATTTTAATAAAAATTTCAGTTGAATAATTCTTGTACAATCCTCTTTCACAGCTAAATATATAAATGTCCAATTTGCTGTTCATAGCCATTCAACTTTGACTTAAAACCAAAGAGTTAAACAATGTATGGACCAGTTTTTTTCGTTGACAGCTAGCCCACTTTACACACGTCAATGCATTCAATGTCTCTAGGCGTCCTGAAAATTAATTTCAATACATTTTCATCTCAATCCGGGGCGGCTGGGGTCTAAATTTTTACTTTCTTGTAACATTAGGCCCCTAAAATTATTAATAAAATTTTTACTTCTGTATATTATTAAGGCCCCTAAAATTATTATTTTCTTATATAACATACTAAAATTTTTACTTCATTATATTATCAAGGACTCTAAAATTATTAGATTCTTATATTATTAGACTTTCTAAAAAAAAATAATATAATATTAATTCATTCAATTATCAAATGTGTGAACTTCTTTATTGTCAAAGAGTTCTATTTAAATAAATATTATTAACACATTATGAGCCACCTTCCTGGACCCGTCCCTCACCTCAAATTCAACAGTCATGTATAGTTTATGCTTTTATATATACAGATACAAAATAGAAACCAAGTCACAGATATCATTAGTGTCTAACCAAAATTTTCAAGCTTTGGAGGAAACAATGAAGCTCATTAATGGGGTTCCTCTTCTTCATCTGATCTTTCTTGCATGGTGTCTTCTGGCCTTCCAGGCTAGATCAGCATCTGTTGGAAGGTCCACCTATATTGTCCACATGGACAAGTCTCACATGCCCAAAATCTTTCCTAGCCACCACCACTGGTACTCCTCCACTGTTGATTCCATAAAATTAGCCAGCCACACAACATCAAACGGTCATCAATCCAAACCAGAGCTCGTCTACAGTTATGATAACGCATTACATTGATTTAGTGCACTGTTGTCTCAAGATGAACTAGAGACTCTAAGGAATTCCCCAGGTTTTGTCTCAGCTTATGGTGATAGAGAAATCACACTTGACACAACCCACAGCACTGAATTCCTCTCTCTCAATCCTGTCACCGGCCTATGGCCTGCATCAGACTACGGCAAAGACGTCATCATTGGTGTCATCGACAGCAGTGTCTGGCCGGAGAGCAAGAGCTTCAACGACAAAGGAATGTCCCCAATCCCCTCTCGGTGGAAGGGTAAGTGCGAGGAAGGACAAGAGTTCAATTCCTCGTTGTGCAACTTGAAGCTTATTGGAGCTAGATCCTTCAACAAGGGGGTTTTAGCTGCAGATCCCAACATCACAATCCGCATGAATTCTGCAAGGGACACCGATGGCCACGGCACGCACACGGCCTCCACAGCCGCTGGAAGCATTGTGGAAGGCGCTTCGTACTTTGGCTATGCACAAGGGACAGCAAAAGGGGTTGCGCTCGGTGCTCGGCTGGCCATCTATAAGGTCACTTGGGACGAAGGAAGTTATGCTTCTGATTACCTTGCCGCAATGGACCAGGCCGTAGCTGATGGTGTTGACGTGATATCGGTTTCATTGAGTCTCGGACGTGGGATACCTCTGTATGAGGATGCTTTTGCCATAGCTTCCTTTGGAGCCATGGAGAAGGGCGTGCTTGTTTCAGCTTCAGCAGGCAATAGAGGCGATTCACTTGGACAAGTGCGCAATGTGAGCCCATGGATCTTGACCGTCGCGGCAGGTTCCATGGACAGGTGGTTTGCCGGCACTTTAACTCTCGGAAATGGGGTAACAATCACCGGATGGACTCTGTTCCCGGCAAGTGCCTTGGTGTTAGACCGCCCTCTCATTTACAACAAGACTCTGTCTCCATGCAATTCAACTGAATTGTTATCTGAAGCCCCTAGTGATGTCATCCTCATTTGTGATATTGCTGAGGCATCTTATTATCCATATATTTATCCAGTTATTGATCAAGCTCGGCATGTCTCACGGTCAAATGTGGCTGCAGCTATATTTATCAGAGACGATCCTGCAGAAGCTTTCTCTGATAATGTTGAAGTATTTGAATCCAACGAATTCCCCTGTCCCGGAGTTGTGATTAGCACTAAAGAAGCCACAACCGTGATCAGATATGCTGAAAGTGCAAATACAGCAACAGCAAGCATCAAGTTCCAACAGACCAAATTTGGTACAAAGCGTGCCCCTGTTGTTGCCTCATTCTCTGCAAGAGGTCCTGCCTTGAGCTGTCCCACCATTTTGAAGCCGGACCTAATGGCACCGGGGATATTAGTTTTAGCAGCATGGATTCCAACTGCTCCAGCAAGTGCTATTGGCTCAAATATTGCATTGTACAGTGATTACAATATGATCTCCGGTACATCCATGTCGTGTCCTCATGCTTCTGGCATCGCCGCGCTCCTTAAAGGGGCACATCCGGAATGGAGTCCAGCTGCTATTAAGTCTGCCATGATGACCACAGCCAACACATTTGATAACACTGGCAATCCTATTCGACGCAATGGCTTTAATAATTCCGATGCTACACCCCTATCCATGGGGGCAGGTCATGTTCATCCTAACCGAGCACTTGATCCAGGTTTTATCTATGATACTACTCCACAGGACTATGTGAATTTCATATGCTCACTGAACTTCACTGAGAATCAATTCTTGACCATCACAAGATCAAAGGGCTACAATTGCTCAAATCTGTCTTCTGACCTCAATTACCCTTCCTTTATCGTTTTGTACACTGACGAAAAGGATAATTTGGTTCAGAAATTTCAGTGGACTGTCACGAATGTGGGCAAAGCCATGGCCACTTATAGAGCTAAGGTTGATGCACCAAAGGGTTCTGTGATCACGGTCTCGCCCAAGACACTGGTTTTTAAGAAGGTGAATGAGAAGAAGAGCTACTCTTTGACTATACATTATAGGGGATTGGAGGGTGCAAGCCACACATATGGTTCTGTAATTTGGGTAGAAGATGGTGGTAAGCATACTGTGAGAAGTCCTATAGTGATCTCACCCTCACCTGATATTTTTGGGTAGGTTCGTGTTTGAATATTGCATGCGATGATAGGGAATTGTCGTTGCGTTTGTGTCATGAGGACTAAGTTATTTTGAATAGTGAAAATAAAGAGCAGGGCTCTAATTCTCAATCTTTGAAGGAATCATACCAACTAAGTGATGGTGTGTGTGTGTGTGTATATATATATATATCTAAAATTTGGTGTATTTCTTGATTTTTATAAATCAATTTCTATCAATTACGTGCACAATAAAAAATAAATTCAACATAAATATAAGCTAGTTCAATTTTGTATTCTAAAAAAAAATAAACTCTCTTTGAAAGAACGCACAGTTCAATTTATATATATCACACTGAGAACATAGCTTGAGATGTCTTCCTATTCCTACTGCATCCAATCTATGGCACACAGCACAATCTTTTACTTTGTCTTATATAATACTATTTGTGGTCAATCATGAAAGCTTTTATTTGTCTTACCTTTATTCTTTGTTTTCACCTTTTACCTATGGACCCCATATGTTTCCTCCATTATTACACACGTAGTACTCTCTCTCTCTCTCTCTCTCTCTCTCTCTCTTTATATATATATATATATATATATGAAAGTTCAAAAGCTTTTAGATACAATGAAACCTCCCTACAAACCCAAAGCTCCAAACCAACAGAAAGCTCCATCAACGGCCAACCCCATTGCCAAGCATCTTAAACCCCCTTTCAGAACACTGAATCACTCCACCACTAGCACAACAGCCCAAATTGCTACCTCACCAAACAACATTCCTCTTTATAATCATAAGCACAGACCAGCCCCATTGTCCAATGTATTATAATCAATAATAAAATAACCACAACAGTCTACAAAGAAACAATATATATATATATATATATATATATATATATATGAAAGAGTAATTCCACAAGAGTAAGAATAAGCATGCAATCATACTTAGGTGAAACAGTCACCAAGAGGATTCAGAACACCTAACACAACAACACTGAATAACCTAAATTATCGTCATTTGTCTGAAAGTTGAAAAACTATAACAATCAACAAATTAGATTACAATATTGAAATGCACACAGTTGTCAACCTAATAATCCACCCGATATTAATTGGGTGATCAATCAAAAGAAGATTAAGAATACCTGACACTATAGCACTTGGACAACCTAAATTTGTCATCATAGGTCCTGAAGCTGAATGTTGCGACAATCAACAACCTTGGCACTCCTGTAAAAGAAATTTACAATTGTGAACCACAGAAAAACAAATGTCTCGCCACCAAAGGAAACTTTATCTTTATTTATAATAATTAATTGGGTCAATTTTTAGACAGAGGTACTTAGTACCCCTTGAATGGGTTTTCTAAATTCGAACACCTAATTAGAGAACTCGTATGGATCCTTTCTTCCTTTAGCTATAATCAGGAGGCAAGTCAACCTAAGACACCAGAAAATTAGGAGTTCAACAAGTTCTGAAATGGTGCCAACTTTTGTATACAGGTCAAAAAGTCAATTGAAAACCATTTATTTAGCATTGTTGTAGGAGAGATATAAATGTGTTGTGTGTGGGTGTGTTTGGACAGAGAGACGGTTGCATACGTTGCCATGGGAGAGTCCTCTGATCAAATGAATCAAACCATCAGTTTCTCTTCTTCACTGAGTCTATTTTTTAACTAAAATATAATAATACAAATATGAATCAATAGAAGAGACGACAGCATAACATTTGAATCAATAATTGATTGCTATGTTTTAATGGAGCTTTAAATTCATATCTTACTTCTAACATTCCAAAAGCAAGCCAATTTACAACTAACTGAAAAAAGTAGAGTCGCAATTGCACATTCTCATCTAAATAATCCTACTTAACATTGAAAAGCATCAAGGATAACCATAAGAAAGTAAAACTACTATTCTAGAAATCCTTATATTAGTTAAGCAAATTTTATCCTCATATAAGTTAAACAAACTTTAGACCAAACGTGCTCTCCTTTTGAAAATTTCTCGAGGCTTATCTGTTTTGAAGCAGAAGGAATTATAAGCATGGAATGCAAAATAGTTGTTTCTCGGTGTGGAAACTTGATATGGTAGCCATTAGTATAAGGGTTCGTTTTAAATTCTAATTTTTTATTTTTTCCACCTTTAGAGTCATTCAAATCTTCTTAGCTTCCAAAAAAAGGCTTTAAGAGGTTACTTCCATAATGTTCATGGATTGGTTTATGTTTCTTCAATTGGACTCACTATGTGAGGTCAGGAAACTTGTATTGTTTCATACATAGTTATTTAATTTTCACTATTTGCATTGTGTTATATCATATCTATCTGTAGAGAATACCTTAGGCTGTGTTTCCCAAAACATGCTTCCTTGTGGAGCGTAATGAATGGGGATGGATGTTCTGTGACCTCGTTCGAGTAAACACAACAAATCTTTAAAGATTAAGCACACCAAAATTTAAAGCTTCCAAACATGATATAGTAGCCTTTGCATTGGTAACAGCTGTGTGAGGGCCTACCAAACCCAATAGGAGAATCAGTGATCAATTGTAATAGCATTTCAACATGTAGGTGCAGTACAAACGGACATAAACATGTATTACAAATAATGACCATTACAAAGAATTCAGAAGGTCCTTGTCCCACTTCATTTTTGTATGTTTGTGTATCTTTGCCACCAAAGACCTTAGTCTAAGTGGCAGCACTTTGTTTCAAATTTCAATAAAGATATCTAAGTTCAAATATATTGTGTCAAATTAAAAATTAGGTTTCATTGGAGAACTGCTAAAAAATTAGCAATTAAGTTGGGGAATGTTTGGTCATGCCCACTAATTGAAGTTGCATGGGCAACGCCATTGTTCTTGAGGAATACTTGAACCAACCACAACATGAAATCCATCAAATAGATGCATGGATTGATGATTAGTTGGTAATTGTATGGAATAATTCAATTGTCTACCCGAAAAGTTGTGGAGGAAATACGGGTGAACATGGCTTAATGGATTCGAAGCCAACCTATAGTGAAGCTATTGATAAGAACCATTAAAAAAAAAAAGTAGTTCATAAATTATGAATATTAATCATTTTAAAATCATCAAATTGTACATCATCTTGAACTGAGGAAGTTGTTGGGTAATAGTTAATTAGTTATAAGAGTTGGGGTCATAATGTAAATAGCCAATACTTGTGTGTGTGTGTGTGTGTATATATATACCAAAAGATTTAGGGTTCTCAGTAACGTGAGAACACCCCCAAATTACTGTCGTCCCTTTTTATCTCTTACTTCGTAATGTGGTATCAGAGCCAGTGGTCTAATCCCTAGTTTGCAATCGTCACGCCTAGGGTTGGAGTTGTCATCTTTACTGTGTGTTGGCCGTTGCTAGTCTTTGTCTAGTTGCCGAGAGTGTTCGTCGTCGTTGATTGCTGTTGAGTCGCCAACTGTGTTAGTTGTTTCAGATTGACATGGAGTTGCAGAGTGTGTTACGGCTACGATTTTGGGAAAACGACTGTACTGGTTGGATTGTGACCTAACCCTATTGTGAAGAGTATGGGTTAACCCTATTCAGTCAAGTTTTTCAAAACCGGATCAGATCTTACCCTTATTTTCTGTCCCGACTTAAGCAAGTGGGTTCTGCGATCAATTCAGGCCAAATTTTCTGGAGTTTAGCTCTTTTTCAGGCCGTTTTTCTTTGTTGTGTGCAGTTCAGCCTCACAATCAATTTAGGATATTGTACCTCAGTTGCTCTTTTTCATTCTCAGCCCCTCCTATTTTCTTCCCAGCGAGTTGTTACATCTGTTTCTAGACTCATGGCAGAGCCCCATGATATTAAAATAAACTCTACTACTGTTACTGATCATGTTGGAATGCAGATTACTACGGTTAAACTGAGAAATACCAACTACTTGTTATGGGCTCAGGCGGTGAAGCTATCCTTAGGCACTATAAGGAAATTAAAATATATCACGGATGATCCTCCAACCAACACTGAAAAAGATTATGATGGTTGGGAAACTGGAAATTACACGGTTATGATGATTGGGAAACTGGAAATTACATGGTTATGTCGTGGTTGTGGAATAGTATGGAGCCTTCAATTGCAGCTAATTTTATGCTTGTTAATAATACAGCCAAGGAAATTTGGGATGCGGTCTTAACTGCTTGCTATTTAATAAATCGTATGCCATCTTCAGTACTAAAAGGGAAGTCTCCTTATTCTATTCTTTATTGCCTCCTCGAGTTTTTGGTTATGTTTGCTTTGCTCATGTGTCAAGTCCTGGAAATGATAAATTATCTGCTCATGCAATCAAGTGTGCATTTGTTGGTTACTCTCGAACTCAAAAAGGATATAAGTGTTGGGATTCTAGCACGCGTCATTACTTTGTGTGTATGGATGTGACCTTTGAAGCCACTCCTTTCTTTTCTTCACTTCGTCAATCTCTAGATACTGAGTTTTTGCTTCCTTTACCTACTATTTCTGATGGTCATGTAACGACCCACTCCACCACATGCTATGATATTGTCCACTTTTGGGCCGAGCATAGTTTTTAAAGGCTCAAGGCGCACTAAGGCACCAAAGGCCTTCTGGAGCCTAAGCGCAAGGCGCAATATAAGGCATGAGCCTAATTGAAGCAAGGAGCGTGTGTATAATAATTCATATTTCAACATATATTTATTATATATTTTCATAATCAAGCAATAATTGCAGTTAATTTAAGTAGTGAACCATAAATTTATTAATTTTGTCAGATATTTCATAAGGTTAAACAATACGATATATGATATAGAACATTTTAATTAGTAGTCATTTGAGTAAAAAATAAAATGATATGACTAAATGATTAAAAAATACAAGGCGCACCTCTTTTGAGTCTGGAGCCTACTAAAAAGCGTGAGCCCAGGGGCTTTATGTGAGCCCGATTGAAGGGGCCTAGCTAGTAGTAGGTTGAGGCGCTCTAGCTAAGCCTTGACGAGTCTGGGGATTTCTTGGAGCCTAGGCGCGCCTTTAACAACTATGGGGTCGCACCCGCACGGTTTTGTTCTTTGGCTTTACCCCAAAAGACCTCATACCAATTGGAGTGACATATCTACATATATAGCACTTCCTCTTCCACACCTAAGCGATGTGAGATTGTGCATGTAGCTCACCCAGTGTGGTAGTCTGACAGTGTCTCTTGCACCTTGTACCTGTCCCCCCCCCCCCCCCCCCCCCCAACTCTAGCTGAGCCTTGACGAGTCTGGGGATTTCTTGGAGCCTAGGCGCGCCTTTAACAACTATGGGGCCAAGCCCGCACGGTTTTATTCTTCGGCTTTACCCCAAAAGGCCTCATACCAATTGGAGTGACACATCTGCATATATAGCACTTCCCCTTTCCACACCTAGGCAATGTGGGATTGTGCATATAGCTCACCCAGTGTGGTAGTCTAACAGTGTCTCTTGCACCTTGCACCTGCCCACAAGGTCGCCACAATCACCCCCCCCCCCCCCCCCCCGGGGGCGTCGAGCCCAACGTTCTTGTTGGCCACACTTTTAGCTGGGCTAAGCTCTGATACCATTTTTAACGACCCACTCCATCACATGGTATGATATTGTCCGCTTTTGGCCCGAGCCCGCACGGTTTTGTTCTTGGGATTTACCCCAAAAGGTCATACCAATTGGAGAGACACACATACATATATAGCACTTCCCCTTTCCAAATATGGGATTGTGCACCTATAACTCACTCAGTGTAGTAGCCTGCCAATGCCTCTTGCACCCGCCCACAAGGTCACCACAGGTCACTCCACCAGCACATCGCTTGGGTCAGGCATATATAAACCACTTCAAGTATATAGTCGCCGACCGAGAGAAGTAACACTAATTTCCACACACCAATTGTCTATATGAGTTGAGGTTCCTTCCCATGATGATCTTCTTATTGCCTTACGCAAAGGTATTCTTTGTTGCACTCATCATCCTATTGAACATGGTGGTTCTTTTGCTGTTTTTTTTTTATCTCCTTGCTTCCAGTCATTTGCTTGTACTTTGTCTTCTGTTTCGATTCCTCAATCATATTCTCAAGAAGTGTCCTCTCCTGGTTGAAACATGCTATTGTTGAAGAAATGGTTGCTCTTCAGCAGAATCACACATGGGACTTAACTCCTCTACAATTGGTTGCAGATGGGTGTATGCTGTCAAATATCATCCTGATGGTACAATTAAAAGGCTGAAGGCTCATTTGGTAGCCAAAGGATATACTCAAACATTTGGAGTCGATTATTTTGAAACTTTTTCTCCTGTTGCTCGCCTTACTTTTATTCGTATTCTTTTATCAGTTGCGGCTATTCAAAATTGGCCTCTCTGCCAGCTTAATATTAAAAATGCCTTTTTACATGGAGATCTTCAAGAAGAAGTTTACATGGAGCAACCACCTGGGTTTGTTGCTCAGGGGGAGTCACATCTGGTGTGTCGGTTAAAGGAAGCTATATACGGGTTAAAACAGTCTCCAAGGGCAAGGTTTGACAAATTTAGTGATGTGGGTGAGTCAATATGGATTAAGCAGAACTACATCAGATCAATTTGTTTTTTGTGAGACATTGCAAAAGTGGTACCATCATCCTAGCAGTTTATGTAAACGATATTGTTGTGACTGGGAATGACAAAAGTGGTATTGATGACTTGAAGAACTTTTTGAGCAAGCAATTTCATATGAAAGACTTGGGCAGGTTGAGGTGTTTTTTAGGAATAGAAGTAACAACATCTCGGAAAGGAATTTGCATATCACAAAGGAAGTATATATGTGATTTTTTAAGTGAGATAGGATTGTTAGGAGCAAAACCAAATGATACTCCCATGTATTCGAATATAAAATTCAGTTTAGATGAGGGAAAACTTCTAGAGGATCCAGGGAGATATCGAAGACTTGTTGGAAAATTGATATATTTGACTGTGATAAGACCAGACATAACCTTTGCTATAGGGGTGGTAAGTCAATTTATGCACCAACCCAGACAACCCCATTTGGATGCGGTATATGATGTTTTAAGATACTTGAAAGGAGCTCCTGGTAAAGGACTTGTCTTTAAGTCCTCTAAAAACATGGATATCGTTGGGTTCACTAATGTTGATTGGGCAGGAAGCCAAATGGATAGGACGTCTATATCTGGATATTGTACATTTGTGGGAGGTAATTTGGTATCATGGAAAAGTAAGAAGCAAAATGTTGTGGCTATATCAAGTGCAGAGGCAGAGTATAGGGCAATGGCCCATACTGCTTGCGAAATGATGTTGATAAAATCTCTTTTACAAGAGATGGGATTCTCCAATGACAAGCCTATGAGAATGATCTGTGATAGTCAGTCTGCTATGTATATTGCTAGTAATCCAGTATTTCATGAGAGGACTAAACATATGAAGGTAGATTGTCACTTTGTGAGAGACGTGGTGATGAGTAAAATGATGGTTACTACTTATGTGAGATCCAAAGATCAATTAGCAGATGTAGCATGTATTTACCAAGGCTAAAATGATGGCCATCCCTTTTTCTCTCTAATTTCGTAACAGAAGTGATTGCACCTAAACTCCCCACATGTAGGGGTGAACTTGAGGACTAGATGCTAAGAACGCATGTGGAGGTAGTGGAGAATAGGCCTAGTGCAAACACAATCCATGTCAGTATATAACTATCAAAACACAATTTTGGGGATTGAATCAAACCAAAATGAAAGATTTTGACTGTCAAACCTAAAAACCTGACTGCCAATCTGGATTTAATTATGCCCGTGCTTGTAGACGAAGACAGCTCCTGAACAACGTACCAAGGAAGAGAAAAACACATATGAAAATTTACACACACACACACACACAAACCAAAAAAAAAAAAAAAAGAAAAAGCATGCATGCCATTAACTGAAAGAAATTCAAAAAAACATAAGTATACTAGTGGAGTAGGTGTCTATGACTCCTTCGCCTCTTCTGCAGGTTTATCCATCTCACTGATACCCATTTTTCAATCACACCACCTTATGTATTACATAGTTTTACACAATATCTATTGTATTTGACATGACTTAACTCAATAAAGTTCTGTCCCAACTTCTATGGGAATTATTTTTACCGAAATATAGAGACTACTTTTGGGGTTAGTTTACATGAATCTTATTTCAACATTCTACTCAATTTGATAGCATTACTCCAATTAAATCACGTGTTTCATACCTTTTCTTTCTATACCAACCCATGTTAATTTTACTCGTCCCCTTCCCCTTCCCCAACGAATATCTTCCATGTGGCACTCGCAGCTCTTTCGCACCAGTACACTCCTCTACTCTCAACTCATCCAACTTCGATTATTTAAGTAGCATCATATCTATTACTAAAAACAATATCTGCATCGATAACTGAATAGTTACAAAATTTTCAGCTTTGGGAATGAACAGGTTTAGTATTTAGTTTTGGTATATTTCGATGAGAATCAATAGTGATGAAATGAGTTTGTAATTAGTGAAGTATAATTTGAAGGCACATAATTTCAAAACGTCCATCTTTTCAAATTTTCTTATACAAGCTTATAGTTTTGCCCACCCTTTTTACCACCATTCTTGCCCTTTTTTTATTAACAGGAATAGGCCAATTCGTTTTCTATTGTTGCTTTGAAGGCTATTATTTCTTTGAGTATTTCTCAGTGGCAGGTACTGATTGAAGAATTGAATCTACACATAGCAACAGAAGCCAGAATCTTTGCCCATAATTGACATATGAATACATCATATAAGAAACTAATCTTCATCACTTACTCCAGTATTGGTATAAATAAATCAAATTTTTATCATATTTAAATTTGCGAAATGAATTAAGTAAAACCTTTCATGCTTACTAACCTTTTCCAATTATCAGCAATGCCTTCAGTGGTTCTCCAACTATTTCAAATTGCTCCAGCTCAAGTTGTAGGATCTTCCTCTCCCCTAAAATTAAAAAAAAATAAAAAGATTATAAAATAAAACGTTCAGGAAAGTTGATTTTCAAGGAAAGTATACCTTGTGAAGATTACTGATGATTAATTCATAAGAAGTTTTTGAAGAAACCATGAGTCAAATGAGGGATTTTAGAAAAAGAATAAAATAAAGTGAAGAAAATAAATTTTAAAAAAAAAAAAAAAAAATTTGATTTATACATCAATGTGCCGCCACTCAGTTGGACAACTTACATGCATGCTTGACCTATATAAAATGATTTGAGAAACCTCAAAAACTTTAGAGACTCAATTAAACTGACGGACACTTCCATTCAAAGAGAACAAACTAACCATTAATGAAGTTAAGGTTATTTCTGATTGGGCCTGTGCCCTTGCTGCCCAAGAGGGCCTGTTTTGTAATTAATTGGCAATGGGCTGCGGCCCAAACCTTGTAATCTTTTAATCCAATAATGTCAGTTGCTTTATTTTCCGAAAAAAAAAAAAAACTAACCATCCAATAATAGTTAAAACCAAGCAACAAAAGAAACCAAAAGAAAATCCTTCAGAATAAATTTTTTAAAAAAAATTGTAAATTTCACTTAAATGTAGAAATTTTATTTTCATCTCATTTTTTTCCTTGATAAGCATTTTTCTCTCGATTTTCAGTAGTTTTCAAACATTTGTTATTAAATGAACTACTACCAAGTTGACACAGAGATAAACATAATAGTATTCAGTTATGGCATGACATTAACAACATGATTAGACTTTTGCACATCTTCTCTTTATTGAGTTTATGGTTTACCCAAAAATCATCACTATAGACATTTCAGTGAAGAATAATAGATTATCATAAACCATAAAGTATTGTTCAAATTTGATCATCATTTACTAACTCCTAATTATAACATATTCAACGAGAACAAACAAAATGTCTTTGAATGCTTTAAAAAATAAAAATAAAAATGCCATGGGGCCTTTTAATCTCAACATACTTCAATTCGGCAAAATCACATCCACGGATAAGCTCAACAACATGAAAAGGAATCATGATTAGGCCAAATAACAGTAAAAGCAAATAATATGTTTTGCAAACAGCCCTCTTTGTTGGGTGGTTCAGATTTTGGAATCAGAACTTATTCGCTGGATTATGAAATTTCGAAGGAGAAGAACTTGAGCGTGAATGGGAGTGAGAGTACCTGCGATTTCCAACGATTCGTTCCTCTGTTTCTCTGCAAATTGAGCGATTCGTTCCTCACTGCGCCTCGATCTGTTTTAGGTGCTCTGAAAATATTCCAACTAAGGGCAACTGACACTAATTTTTCAAACCCTTCTCATCAATGAATTTTTAAAAGAATTATTTCAAGTTCAAGACGGTTTAATATACGGAGTACGTAGTTTTTAAGAAAAACAATTCAAATAATCAAAATATGAACTATCATAACAATATAAAATTAAAATTTATCATAAGATATATTAATTAATTGTATCGTCTTTGGGAGTGTTTAAATTTTCTTTTCAAATAGCATCTAATTTCTATTAAAATGAACCCAAAACTCGTCCTTGTAGGCACAAGATGAAATGAGGTAGGCTCCGAATAGAGCTTGGTCCTGTCTCAAGAAGTATTGAATCTAAGATTCAAATTGAATCAATTGGGTGCAAATAATTCCAAGAGTTGATCAACTTGGAATCCTAAGTTTAAAAAATCAGACCCATTTCTAATGGGTTAATATGTATAAAGTTCATATTACATTTACAAAATTACTCATTTGTTTAATGTTCAAAATCATACTTTAATGTTCAAAATCTTATCATCATACTAAATCAAAATTACTCATTTACATCAGACTAAATCAAAACTTTAATGTTCAAAATCTTATCATCGTTTGTCCCCTTTCTCCCTCATTAAAACCACCTCTCTACGGTATCATATTTGGCTCCAAACAAAGACTAATAAAGATTTCATACCCTTCACTGCTTCAGCCACAACCCTTTATGCCCCGTTTGGTTGGAGGGATGAAAAATTAGATGGAAGGAAAAGGGGGAAGAATGGATGAGTCATCCTTAAGAAAGGGAAAGTGTCTCCTTCATTTTTTGTTTGGTTGAATGGAAGGGACGACAGAAAAGATTGATGGAGTGCTAGTTTTTTTTGTTTGGTTGAAAGGAAGGAAATGATAGTTTTTATATATTTTTTACTAATATACCCTTACTATATAAAGTTATAAAATTAATTAATTTAAAATTATTTAATAATGTTGAGCTCTACTACCAAGCAAGTTGTCTAAAATGAATGTTTTATACTTACATATCAAACAAAAAAAAAAAAAAAATTATTTAATTAATTTTTTTTTACATACCAAACAATTAATTAATTTAAATTTATTTAATAATCGCTATAGTTGTTTAACGCAACAGGGTTTTAACAAATTTTTAAGAACGATAAAAATGAAAATTATAACAAATTTTGATAATTATCTTTTTTCTTTCCACTCTTCCCCCAGATTTGGGCGAATAAGAAAATGTATAGCAAGGTGTTTCCTCCTTCTCTTCCCTTCCCTCCAACCAAACATGAAAACATTCATCCCTCCCTCCTCCCATCCATCCCTCCCCAATCCATCCCTCCAACCAAACATAGCATTAGTTCTGACGCAGTAGTGGTGAAAAAAAAAAAAAAAGACCAAACTGATTTATAATTCTTATTCCTTTTTTCATGATGTTCTAATGAGTCAAACCTATTTCAATTCAAGTTTTGTAAGAGAGGATGGTGGTGTTCCTGTGGCGGGTGGAGAGTGACCATAATTAGGATTTTGGAATTAAAGATTCTTCGATCTGTAATTCTCTCTCTCTCTCTCTCTCTCTCTCTCTCTCTATATATATATATATATATATATATATATATATTAGGTTAACCCTGAAAAATGGGTTTCACTCCTTTGTTAAAAAAAAAAAAAAAAAAAAAAATTGAATAAATTACACTCACACCCCCTGAGGCTTGGATCAATGTTACTTAGCAGAGGAAGGTCAACGCACTAATTTGCACTAACGTCCCCTGAGGTTTCAAAAGTCATATTTACCCCTGAACTTGTTAATTGACAAAAATAACCCTAATCAATATTATGTATTCCCCTCTCACCCATACACCGTTGCAACCGCCATAGACCGCCACATCAAACACAACATACCCACCGCCACAACCAACACAACATACCCACCGCCACAACCACCGCACGCCTCAACCACTGCAAGCCACAACCATAACACTCGTCACCACACACACACACACCGCATTTAGGTCAAACCTATACACCCCACCATAACCACCGTTATACTTACACACACATACACTGCCCGAGCAAGTTGTTGGACCACAGAGCCCAATCTTAACCCTACCCACGCGAAATTACCAACGACAAAGAGAAGATTTGTGTTCACCGCTGCAATTGTCGAAACTGTCGGCATAACCGAGCAAATCTTTGTTCGCCACTACAATCATCGATCATGCCTTTAATTCGCAGAGGGATTTTGCCTCTAATTCACGAGGGTGGTGGTTCTATTATTGGTGGTGACGGTGGTGGTGGGTTTCTCTAATTCACAAGCGATGGTGGCTTTTGCCTCTGATCTCGTCGCTTTTGATCGACAGCAGTGGTGGTGGTTGCTTCTAATTATTGATGGCAACGGCGGTGGTATGGTGGGTTTCACATGAAGAGACGACAATGGTGGTGGTGGTGTTAGGACAAAGAGGGTATGTGAGGGATAGAGATAGAGACATAGAGGGTATGAGAGGATAGAGATAGAGACAAAGAAGGTATATGTTATAGGTATCGATGTATGTAAGAGACACAGAGGGTATGGTAGGTTAGAGATAGAATGTAAAATGAAGGGTATTTTGGTCCTTTAAAATTCAGTTTATAGGGTTATATTCGTAAGAGCATCTCCAATGCTAAAAACTATTTTCGCATGTCAAATCTATATTTTGAGAGGAGCTACAGTGTCAAAATGCTATATTTTAATAATTCTGCTCCAATGGTGTATTTCATCCAAAATGCTATTTTTTAACATAACAACCATTCTATTTCAATTACCATTCCCAACGACCATTTTCAACTACCATTTTTTAACTACCATTCCCAACTACCATTTTCATAAAATCCATGTTTGGCATTTCAATACTACAATTCACTAAAATCCATAAAAATAAATACATAAGCATAACTTAAAAAAAAAAAAAAAGTACATTGCAAATTACTATATCTTGATCCGGCGTGAATGCCTTTCCCCGCCATGTTAATTATTGAGGGACTTCCATTAATAGTTATCAATATGTCAAATCAAAGTAGAGGATACAAATAAGGAATGAATCATACACCTTTTAATTCAATTTCATCTGAGACCAGCACCTCAATTTCTTATTCAAAGCCAGAACCCTGCATCGTTACATGAAGTGGCTGTCTTCAGAAATAAAATCAACTTCTCATTTAAAGTAGCCCATGCTTTAACAAATTTACCAAGTGAAGGCCACTACTACTATAAAGGCAATACATACCATCTAGCTTTAACCCAAGCATCTAGTTATTCAATTCCTCAAGATGAGAGAGAACTTGAACAGGATGAAATTTAGTGGTCTTTTTTGTTTATATCAAAGACAAATAATAACCCTTTATTGGATTAAAGATATGCCTTCATACTGCCCTTAAGGACACAAAATTCATGATTTAGATTCATTAAACACACATACTTATACTGATATAGTACAATATATAAAATCCACTAAGCATTGACAAATACTTCTGAGATGATTACCAGTAAACATAATAGAGTCAAAATGATTCGAGTTTCCATTCTACAAAATCTTAAAATTAACTGTGATAATCAAAAGTTCCATTTATTTGATCGAAAAAAAAAAAAAAAAAAAAAAAAGATCTACGAAGTTTCAGGAATTGTCAATAGCTAGCAGAACTTCATATTAATACACATAATGTAAATTAATCCGAAATTCACTTCATATTATGGGGCTGGAGCTTAAATTAGCAATTACCCAATAAACATACTTGTAAAACAAATCATTAAGAATCAAGACCCAATTGGGAAATTGCAGAAAGAATACCTAAATGAAGCTAATCAACACTGAAATCGAATTGAAGACTGCAATATATATATACACACACATGGAAATCAAATCAAAACAAAACATATGCACAGAGAGAGTGGTAATTGTTACCCAGAAGAGAATAGTATTCTGAATCCAAACGATGGAAATCTGGATCCCAAATACAAAGCCCATGCCGGATATTAGAATGAAATTGAAAATTTTTAAATCATAAAGCATATATATACAAATATATTTATATATATGCAAATATATAGATTTCATACCTGTTACTTCCTTCTAGAGTTTCAAAGCGACGGAGGAGTGGCTATGGTGTAGGCAAGTTGTCTATGGTTTGAGAAGAGAGTGTGTGGTGTAGGGGAGAGAGAGAGGGGGGGGGAGAGAGAAAAGAAGGCGGGGCTGAGGGAGAGATCGGGATGGTGGAGGTGGGGTTTGATTAGGGCTCTGCTTGAGACGGATA